TGTGGAGGGAGGCGATTGTTTCCACGAGCTGGAGCTCTTGCTGGTTTGCGGCCATTTGTTGTTGTTGGCGAGTAATCCGAGGAGAACGATCGAGGCGGAAAAAGAGCTGCGAGCGGTGTGTTTGAGTTTTGTGAGCACACTCCATGAACGAGGAGGGGTATATATACGCGTAGATAGAGAGGAGGGGTCGACTGAATTGGGAGAGGGCGGTTGCTTGTGCTTGGCCCTTTTCTTGCCTTTTTGGTCTTGGTTAGGTTGTTTTTGGTCGTTTTGCGCCTTCTCAGCAGTTTTAATTGCAAATAGACCCCGCCCTCGTAGTATAGATATTTTGAACCTACCACCCCGTAGTTTCACCTATGAGGAGAGACCCTTGGCATATTTTTTGGCCCTTCCTTACCATGGGTGAAATTTTGGCAGATATCGTCCTCCCGCTAGTAGAAAAACCACAAATCCAGACGGAACAACCTAGACGGATTTCCTACTTTCTTCTAGGTTGATATCCGTCTAGTTTGCCCCAACCTAGACGGAATCAGACTAGACGGAGCAAGCCGGACGGAATTCCGTCTAGTTTTACTAACCTAGACGGGAAATGAAGCAACCTAGACGAAAATTTCCGTCTATATTGCTCGTTTTTCTACTAGTGTTCGTTGAAATTAACGAATCCACAGTTGAAATTCTTGAGTCTACCTCAGGGCAAATGAGACAGAAAGAAATTAACCTAGGGGGTCCATCTGCAACAATGAAACCACAGGGGATTAAATCCAAAACGGTGATACTACAAGGGGTCTATATGCAATTAACTCTTCTTTTTTTACGTGTTTCGCTTAAATCCCTAGTCGAAGTTTTTACAAAGCACGAACTATGGCTTAATTATTTGATAAAATAATCCCCGATAGTTTTTAATAAACCCAAGTGTTAAGGTTTTGACAACATCTCTGCTACAAAACATGGGCATGGGCGAAATTGACGCGCGATAAGCTTGCTGATAACACAGCGTACCTATGAAACTGACGGCGAGGTTGAATGCGGAGCGCTAATATAAAAAATTACGAACATGTAAAGTACACGAAACGACATAAACATTTGGATTCTCCGGGGAATTTTGCTTTCACACGGGATGCGGCAATTTGGGCGCAAGAATTTGATTCTCCCATCCCTTTCCTATTCACACAGGCCATTTTTATGGACCACAAAGTGATTAAAGATCAAAAACTTTAATCATTTGGCACAAACTTAGCGATGAAACTCAATGTAATTAGCATACAGGGGGATCCTAGAGGGGACTAAAAAAAAGGGGGAGTTGACCAAATCCTGCATTCTATCATAAAAATGTTCATGTTCCCTTGAGCATCATCTTACGAATGGGAATATTTGTGCTCACACTGGCGCATCCCATATCTTGCACATATATCTAGAAATGCAACCTTCCCTAGTTACTCGTGTGGTATCAGTTGACAGTTGAACGGATCTCACGAGCCATCTTCAAATCAACAACAGAGGCCTATAAGTTAAAAATAGGGTTAATTCCGAACAGACCCTTGCCGTATCACCCAATTGCAAAGAGGCCCC